GGAGCTTTCCTTACCTCTTCCCCCTCCCCCTTTTTTCCTTTTCCTTTTTTCTTTCCCCTTTTTTGCGCTCTGATTCACAATGTGACAATATATATATATCTAGAATCTATATAATAATCTATATAATAATATATATAATATACTATATAATAATCTATATATACATATATATCGACGGCATCTCCACGACCATCATATATATGAATCCGTTATTTGTGTATCTATAATCTGTATATAGTTATATAGATATATATGAATACATACACGTGCATATGTGATACGAACATCGACGCTATCTCCACGTCCATCATACGAAACAGTTTGTGACAGCCCCCCTCGTTTGTTGTCCTCTTCTCCCTCCCTCTCTGCCTACTACGGCTTACCGGGCAGCTCTGTTTGACGGTATATATATATGTATATGTAATATGTGGAGCTGTGATAGTATTATTATTATTATTATTATAGAAGATGATGGTGGTTTCGTCAATCGCTTGGTCGTGACGTGAGGATGGGTATGGTGATTGTTAATCAATCCGTCGACAGCGACTCCCATGAAGTTGATGGATAATGATGAGGCGGGGGAAGCCAAAAAAAAAAAAATTGAGGACAGACGTGATGATCATTGATCAAGCCGTTCCCGTCGAGGATGAGGACAGACATGATAATCATTGATCACGCATGATATTGATTGATCAAGCCGTCCTCGTCGTCGGTGCGGTTAACGATTCCGTCGAAGTTGATGGTGAAATGATGAGGAAGGAAAAACAAGAACAAAGAATCGAACAAGAACAATGATGAGGGAGCGTCACACGATAAACTGCGGCGGCGGCGGCGGCGGCCCGTGACCGCTCGATCGGCAACGATTCGCGAATCCCCTTGTAGTGATGAAGAGCCGATCGAGCGGTCAAGATGAGGGATTAACCACGGCTCCTTATCACAACACGGGGATTCGGTTAATCATGATGGCGATGGAAGGAAAAGGGGGGGGGAGGCGGAGGCGGGGGAAGGGAAGGCGGTGAACGAGGAAGGGAGGAGAACATGAAGTCCATTCGATGACGATGATGAAGATGGTGAAGGTGGTGAATGATGACGAAGAGGATGGTGATGAGGGTGATGAAGACGAGGATGGTGATGATGGTGATGAAGACGAGGAGGATGAATGATGACGAAGAGGATGGTGATGATGAAGAAGAGGATGGTGATGATGAAGAAGAGGATGGTGAGGATGATGAAGCGGATGGTGAGGATGATGATGATGAGGATGGTTATGATGACGATGGCGATGGTGACGAAGAGGATGGTGATAATGATGGTGATGATGATAATGATGACAAGGATAGTGATTAATGGTGATGATGATGGTGATAATGATGACGAATGATGGTGATAATGATGACAAGGATAGTGATTAATGGTGATGATGATGGTGATAATGATGGCGAAGGTAAGTGATTACTGATGACGAGGATGGTGATGACGAGGATGGTGATTCTGATCTTTCAAGAGAGAGAAAAATAACATGATCTATATTCTATTCTCGTATTCGAGACCGTCGATGGCGGCGGCAATGATTGGTTGTCTTTTTTTTTTTTCTTTTTTTTGTTGTTGCAATGATTGGCATCAGATGAGAGGGTTGTGTGTGACAGAAAGGCGTAACTTTCGACTGTTGATGTATTTCTCCACCTCCTCTCCCCTCCCTCTCCCACGTTGCTTACCCTTTTTATTATTATTATTATAATGATTATTATTATTATTATTATTATTTGCGTTGGCAGTGATGGGTATTGGATAAGTGGGCTGTGTGTGACATGCGTGCCTTTCCCCTGTTGATTTCTCGGCCTCCTCTCCCTTCCATCCCCCACGCTATAATGAAGTTATTCTTATTGTACTTTAATTAATAGAGTAGAATAAAAAAATTAGTGGTGCGGATGGCAAGATTGCGCCCCCCTCCTCCCCCCCCCCCCCCCCCCCCCCCCCCCCCCCCCCCCCCCCCCCCCCCCCCCTCTTGACCTCCTTGCCGCCCCCACCCCCCCCCCCGATCACATATAGGCACCTTTTTATTCTGCCCCACTTACCTACCCACCTACCTCCTCACCTACCTCCTCACCTACCTACTCGCCTACCTACCCACTCACGCAAGTACACACTCCTTTTTGGCGTCTGTTATTTAGATGCTTGTTCATATTTCGCAATTGATTGATAATGATTTGTGCGTTTTTTTGGTGGTATGTTGGAATTTGTTTTTTTGTTTTTTTGTTTTTTAGGTCTTGAAGCGAGATATTCCATGGGAGACTTACATGACAGCGAAGGTTTTGTCGGAGAAGGGCTTGCAATTGCTGCGCCGCTACGATCACAAGCCGAAGGATG